AAGAGGGTTTTTTTTTTTTTTTTTTTTTTTTTTTTTCCCCCCCTTTTTGTCTTTTTTACTGACCGGCAACGGGATCGCAACCCTCGGTGTTGCGCCCGCACCACGCTCAGCCAGTGAGCGGGAACCGGTCTCCACATGGGATCCGAACCCTCGGCGGGAGGGCCTCCGCGCTTCCAAGCGGCGCACTCTCCAGTGCGCCACCGGCCGGCCCTCTTAAGAGTTTTAAAAATGGTACTGATGTGGCCAACAGTATTTAAAACCTTACCCTTTGCAAGCCCTGTAAGAGCATTGGAACATCCAGGACCCAGAGACCAGCGGATCCAGGAAATCCAGCGAATACTGCGACCCGATTCAGCAACCAAGCATTTCCCCTGAAATTATTATTTCAGACACCATTCGGGCTATATAACCTTCCATCCTTCTAGGTTGCTCAGCCTCACCAGCGCTTCCTGCCAGCCGGTTTCTCTCTCAAATTTCCAGTGCCATTACCTTGGCCACGCCCTTGACAGTACTACTGTGGCTCCCCGCCTGGCAAAACCTGAGACTGGATCAACCCAACAGTCTCTTCTTTCCAAGCCTTCTGTGGGGTAGCTCTCCCCTTCACAGATATCCCATCTATTGATAACCCATCTCTTCTGTACCTCCAACCTTTCCATTCTTCCCATCTGCACTGAAACTTGCTTCTCTTCCCAGTCTTAGGAACAGCAACTTCCTTCACCAGGAGTTTCTTCACTAGCCTCCCCACTCTCTCCACTATGATCTCCATCCTCCCCTTCACAGTCAAGTTTTTGGAAATATTTTACACTCTCAGTTTCTACTTCCTCACTTCTTCCTTGCTGCCCACACCATAAAACTAGCTCCTACCCACCAGCACTCCCCTAACACCTAGTAGTCGGTGTCACCAGGATGCTAAATCCAATGGGTATTTTTCAGGTCTTATCTTGCTTGACCTCCCAACAGTACTAGTCATTGTTGAGCACTCCCTCCTGGGAGTTCTCTCTTCCTCTGGTTTCTGTGATATTTCACTCTCCTTCTGGCCCTCCTTCTCTGGCTTCTCCTTCTCAAATTTACTCCTTCCAGAGAGTGCGGTAGACAGAATAATGGTTTCCAAAGATGTCCATGTCCTAATGTGGATTGGAATATGTGAATATGTTAAGTTAAATAGCAAAAAGGATTTAAGGTTGTAAGTGAAATTAAGGTTGCTAATCTGCTGGTTTTAAAACATGATTAACCTAGGTTATTGGATGGGTCCAATGTAACACAAGGGTCCTTAAAAAGCAAAAGAGGGTGGTAGAAGAGTGTCAGAGGAGATGTGACTACAAAAGAAAGGAACATGGAGCTACGATGTTGCTGGCTTTCAAGATGGAGGAAGGGGGTCATGAGCTAATGATGCCCCGCTTTCCTCTAGAAGCCAGAAAGGGCAAAGTGGATTCTCCCCTAGGGTCTGCGGAGAGGAAATAACAACATCTTGATCTTAACCTAGTGAGACCTGTGTCAGACTTCTGAACTACAGAATTGTAAGATAATTTGTGTTACTTTAAGCCACTAAGTTTTTGGTAATTTGTTACAGTAGCAATTGTTTTTTGTTTTTTTGGTTGTTTTGGCCATTTATTCTTTCATATTAATTTTAAAGCAACTAATCAATTCTTAAAAGCAAATCTTTGTTGTATATCTTGGGATTACCATGAATATACAGATTAATCACCATCTTTGAAGTATGGAATCTTACTTTCATGAAAATGAATAGCTCTTCATTGATTTAGGTCAATATCCATATAAAGTATCAATATCAATATGACACTTTTTAGTAGTTTTATAATTTCCTCCTTAAAGATCTTGCACATCTTTTGTTAAGTTTATTCCTAGAAATAGTAGTTTTTATTACTATGGAAGATACTTTTTTGTCTTAATTTCCTTATTTTTGATAGTTTGTTATTATTACATATAAAGTTTTTAGCTATTGATCTTCTATCCAGCAACCTTTCTGAATTTTGTTATTAGCACTAATATTTTGAAGAGTTTTTTTGGTTTTTCTATTTAGATAATTATTGTGTTTATGATTAAGAAGAGTTTTTCTCTCTTCAGGTCTTAAAACTTTGTCCTTTTTTCTTGTCTTCCTGTTCTAAGACTTTACAGTGTTGAGGAGAAACTAAGAGCTGGCATCTTTGTTTCTTTCTCGGTTTTACAAGGAAACTTTCTTTTTTTTTTTTTAAAAAGATGACCGGTAAGGGGATCTTAACCCTTGACTTGGTGTTGTCAGCACCACGCTCAGCCAGTGAGCGAACCGGCCATCCCTATGTGGGATCCGAACCCGGGGCCTTGGTGTTATCAGCACCGCACTCTACCGAGTGAGCCACGGGCCGGCCCATACAGTAGCAATTGGATACTTATACAGAGGACTAGGATTTAGGCCTATTTCTCATCTTTCTACAGTCTCCTAGAGGTGTTCCTGTTATCTATTCCGGCTTCCTCCAGAGTACATGAGGGAGCAAGATAGAAGCCACAATATCTTTATGACAACCTTGGAAGTCACACACTGTCATTTCTGCATTATCATATTGGGTCAATTCAGCCCTATTTAGTGTCAAGAGAGTACACAATCGTATGGATACCAGGAGATGAGAATCACCACAAAGTAATGGTTTAAAACAATAACAACTATTTTATTTTCTCACAATTTTTATGAGTTAGGATTTGGGAAGAGAATTTGGCTGGGCGGTTCTGGCTCATGCAATTGCTGTCAGATGGTGGCTGAAGCTGGAAGAATGAGAGGCTGAAGCATCTGAGGGATAACCTTGGCATCTCTCTTCATGTAGTCTCCGGACCTATCCATTTAGTCCCCACTTGGAGTAGTTTGGGCTTCCTCAGAGCATGGCAGCCGCAGGGCTACAATAGCAAGCTTCCAAAATGGTCCTCAGTGATTTCCACATCTTGATGTTCACACCATTGTGTAGTCTCTCTCCATAATGAACAGGGCTGAACTGACGCAATAGGATAATGCAGAATGACGGTGTATGACTTTTGAGGCTAAGTTGTAAAGATATTGTGGCTTCCATCTTGCTCCCTCTTAGATTACTCATTCTAGGGGAAGCCAGCTGCCATGTTTTATGAAGGCACCCAAGCAGCCCTAGGGAGAGGTCCACTTAGTGAGGAACTGAGGCCTCCTGCTAACAACCAGCATTAACTTGCCGGGCATGTAAGAGTTACCTTGGAAGTGGATTCTCGAGCATCAGTCAAGCCTTCAGATGACTAGTGTTGGCCAACATCTTGATTGCACCTCATAAGAGATCCTGAGCTAGAATCAACAGCTAAACTGCTTCCAGATTCCTGACCAAATGAAACTGTGTGAGATAATGTTTGTTGTTTTAAGATGCTATGTTTTGGAGATAATTTGTTACACAGCAATAGATAATTAATACAGGGCAGTCAGACTGCTCATTTGGCAGCTCAAGGCTCCAGCATATGTACTCCAGGGAGCCAGATGGAAGCTGCATCATCTTTCATGATCTAGCCTCAGAAGTCATTTTACATCCCTTCCACTATAATCACAGCCTGCCAGTTCCAAGGGGAAGAAACACAGACCCTCACCTCTTGATGTAAGAAGTGTCCAAGTCGTATTGTAAGAAGTTCATGTAGAGGGCCGGCCTGTGGCTCACTTGGGAGAGTGTGGTGCTGATAGCACCAAGGCCATGGGTTCGGATCCCTATATAGAGATGGCCGGTTCACTCACAGGGAGAGCGTGGTGCTGATAACACCAAGTCAAGGGTTAAGATCCCTGTATGTCATCTTAAAAAAAAAAAAAAGAAGAAGAAGTTCAAGTGGGATGGGCCATCTTTGGAAAATACAATCTGCCATGTGGGGCAATATTATCTCCTTACTACCTACAGGTCACGACTTCCAAGCTCCGACCTGAGCCCAGATCTCTCTCCTGGGCTCCAAACCCCATAGTAAGAACCACCTCCTGGATGTCATCATCTGGATGTCTCACAGACCTATCAATACAACACACCCCAAACTGAAATCCTTATCTTTTCCAAACTTATTCTTCCTCTGGGGTTTCCCATTTTAGGGATGGCCACTCCATCCATGCAAGCCACCCCTCCCAGACTACTCTCTCACTCTCACTCCCCATAATCTATGCAGACCACTACCATAGTCCAAATCATTATCACTCCTTACTGGTCTTCCAAATAGACTTGTCCCTCACCCCAAGACCCATTCTCCACACAGCAGTCAGTGATCCTTTACAAAATAAATATGTAGTTTTGTCACTCTCTGCCTCTCAATAGCATCCCATTTCAATAGCTCCTAGAATAAAGCCCAATATTTCCTCCATTTACTTCACTAATGTTTGTTATGTGCCAGGGATTGTGTTAGGGACTTGGGATAAATCAATAAAACAGACAAATATTCGTATTTTTGGCTTACATTGTAGAAAAGAAGGAAAAAGTGAACAACTAATATAATAAATATGTAAAGTATATAGTATATTATCGGTGATGAATGCTATGGATAAAATTAAAAGTAGAGCAGAGTGAAGGAAATGGAGGTGATTTCAATTTTAAATAGGATGGAAAGGAAGGGCTTCATTCAGCTGACATTTCAGCAAAAGCTTGAAAGAGGTGAAGGAGCAAACTATGTGGATATCTAGGGGAAGGGTGTTCCAGGCAGAGAGAACAGCCAGTGAGAGGCCCTGAGATGGAAGTATCTAGTAGGTTCAGTGAACAGCAGAGGGGCCTGTATGGCTGGAGCAGAGTGTGGGGGGTGAGGACAGAGAGAAAAGAAGGGGGAAGAAGTGTTTTAATCTTTCTGTTTTTGCATCTGTAAAATTAAGATAATACCAACACCATGGGATTGTTATAAAGATGAAATTAACACATTTAAGCACTTAGACGACTGCGTGACCAGCGGTAAGCTCTCTATACAACGTTCTGAAAGGGGCCTGCGGGGTGCACGTCCAACCTTTGCCGCCAGGGGGGAGCAGCGAGTTCAGGCCGAGCTGGTCAAGCGCGGCGGGTCAAATGGGGTGAGGTCGTCACCCGCGGTCTCCTCGGCTCCTGTCCACTCCGCGGCCACGTGAGCGCCGAGCTCTGGCGCACAACAAGCACCCCGAGTCCTGTGCTTCCTGCGCAGGCTGTGCTCCCGCCAGGAGCACCCTTCCCTTTCCCTTTTTCCAAGAGCTCGAGCCGTGCCTGCATCCGCGCCTAGGCCGCCTCCTGGCTTCACTCCAGTGAGTTGACGGGATGTTAGAAAAGAAGGGGTAGGGGCCGGCCCGTGGCTCACTCGGGAGAGTGCGGTGCTGATAACACCAAGGCTGCGGGTTCGGATCCCACATAGGGATGGCCGGTTCGCTCACTGGCTGAGCGTGGTGCTGACAACACCAAGTCAAGGGTTAAAATCCCCTTACCGGTCATCTTTAAAAAAAAAAAAAAGAAAAGAAGGGGTAGGAGCGGTGTGGGGGTGGGGAGCAACGAGGAAATCCAGAGACTCAGGGACCTCTTTTCCCATGGCCTATGCAGACCTTCCCCCAATTCGTCAGGCAGGCCAGCCATGGTGAAGGATCCCACGTCCAAGTTTAAAGACAGCCTCCAGAGATGTCACCTGCTTCACCGAACACTTCATTTATAGTACACACACACACACTGGAAAGTCTCTCTCCCAGCACCTCCTACCTGCATAAAGTAATTGCTTTCTCAGTGGCCTGTCTGCCTTTGGTCTCTCATCCCCCCCACCCCCAGTCACTACAGCCAGAGGGTTCCGTCCAAGACGGGTCGCGAGTCCTCGGCGCCAAACTACAGCTCCCAGGAGGCATCGCGCGCAGAGCCCGCGCGGCGTCACAGCGGCGGAGGGCGCAGGCGGCTGGTCTAGGCCGGCGGGTCCAGCGTACTGGCCGTTCCGCTCGGACCCGGGCCCTGGCTCCGCGGTAAGTGGAGCAATCGGCGCAGACCCTGCCCGGGGGCTGGGCAGCGCGCGTCCGCTGCCACCACCATTGCGCGGGAGCGCGCGCGGACGGGGGGCTGGCATCTGCCATATGGGGGGATCCGGATGAACCAAGTGACCCACGGGGGGGGAGCTCAGATGGAGACTCCGGGCCGCAGCCTCGATACAGCGGCTCTCGGGCGCGGTGCTGTGTGTCGGACGTACGCAGGCCAGACTCTCGCAGCCTGGGTCTGAAGGCTCTGGGTGGGGGTCAGCCCCGCCCCCTGAGCCAGGGTGCCCAGGACCAGAGGGAGCTGGGGCGAGGTTTTCGGGCCGGATGGGTGTGAGGATCTCCCCCCCAGACCACCAACTAGAGCCTCGGGTTGAGGAAGCTCCAGAACGCAAGGTTGTCCAGGCTCGGCCTGTGTGTGTTGAGGAAGGAAGTTGACGGGTGGGCAGAGATTGCCCAAGTCTGAAGATACCGGTGCCCAGGTGGGAGAGGTGGTGCGGGTTGTCTGGATTCGGACCCTTACAACTTCCCCTTCCCCCACCCCGGTAGATGGGAGCTGCTCTCCGGGGGCTGAGCTTGTCAGCATCCTCGACGGGCTCTCGCCCCTGAAGTCAGAGAAGAGCCCCTGCCCACCTACACACCCCTTTCCCCATTTTGGGATTGCCTCCGTCTGTCGGGTCCTCAGCCCTAGTGGCCGCTCAGTCCAACAAAGGAGCAGGACGATGATACTGGTGTCGGCGCTGGGGAACGGTCCCCGGGGCGGGCCCCCGCTGCGGCCCCTCTTGGGGCCCGCACTCTCGCTCCGGGCCCGTTCGACATCAGTCACCGATACACACCGTGTGGAGATGGCACGGGAGCGCTCCAAGACTGTCACCTCCTTTTACAACCAGTCGGCCATAGACGTGGCAGCAGAGAAGGTGCGCGGCTGGGGCGGTGAGCCCAGGGGTCGCAAGTGGGAGTGGGAGTCCAGGGAAAGGGCGGGGCTAAGGTGGCAGGGGCGGGGCGTTGGAGATTCCATGCTCAAGGCCCATCTGCCCCTTCAGCCCTCAGTCCGGCTCACTCCGACCATGATGCTCTATTCTGGCCGCTCTCAGGACGGAAGCCACCTTCTGGTAAGATTCTTGCCCCCTATTTTCCCCTTGGCGCCTGGAGCTCCAGTTCAGCCACTCAGGCCCTGGCCGTGCCACCCCTCCTCTTTTCTTCTAGAAAAGTGCCCGGTACCTGCACCAAGAGCTGCCAGTGAGGATAGCTCACCGCATCAAGGGCTTCCGCAGCCTTCCTTTCATCATCGGCTGCAACCCCACCATACTGCACGTGGTAAGGTAGAGAGGACCTTAGATCAGTGTTCCCACTGCCCAGGGGACACATGGGGAGTTCAGAGTGGGAGAGACTTGGTTGCCTAAAGGTGTCAGGGCCATACAGGACTCAGCCCCAAGCCTTCAGAGGCAAAGGCTGCATGTTCATGGAGGCTCAAGGTCACACTGGAGGTTTGAACCATGTGAATTGGGTTGGGTGGTGATCCCCACAGACAGGCACGAGTAGCTGCTCCCTACCCAGTGCCCATGGCAGCCCTGTGAATTCCCACACCTTTTCCTTGCAGCATGAGCTGTACATCCGTGCCTTCCAGAAGCTGACAGACTTTCCTCCAGTGAGTGCTGGGCCCTAGCAGGGTGAGGGGCTGAGAGATTAGGGTTGGACCACCTGTGTTCATGACTCTGTGACCTGCAGATTAAGGACCAGGCAGAGGAGACCCAATACTGCCAGCTGGTGCGACAGCTGCTGGATGACCACAAGGATGTGGTGACCCTCTTAGCTGAGGGTCTGCGTGAGAGCCGAAAGCACATAGAGGTCAGGGGCGGCAAAGTGGGGGCCCAGGCCTGTTGGGGGAGGCTGGGAAGAGGCACAGGGTTTCTGAGGCCCCACTCTTTACAGGATGAAAAGCTTGTCCGCTACTTTTTAGACAAGACGCTGACTTCGAGGCTTGGGATTCGCATGTTGGCCACCCATCACCTGGCACTTCATGAAGACAAGGTGGAGCTGTGGAACCTGATACCCTCCAGGGAATAAGTGGGGCACAGGAGACTGAGCTAGGTGCCCCCTTGTGCTGGGGACCTGGGCCAAGGGCCTGGGGGAGAGGCTTTGGCAGTCCAGATGTTGCAAGCATTTGGCAGGGGTTGGGAGGGAAACAGGTGTTGCTAGTCCTGACCCTCTTTCTCCTGCCAGCCCGACTTTGTTGGCATCATCTGCACTCGTCTCTCACCAAAGAAGATTATTGAAAAATGGGTGGACTTTGCCAGGTGAGGCTAGAATGGCTAATGGGGTGGATGTCTTGGAGCAGGGAAGGCTTGGGGCATGCCTGGGGCATAGTCTAGGGCAGGGCTTCTCAACCTTGGCACTATTAACGTTTTGAGCCAGATAATTCTTTGTGGTAGAGGGCTGTCCTGTGTGTGTTAGGATGTTTAGCAGGATCCTGGGCTTCTACTCACTTGATGCCAGTAGTACCTCCCAGTTGTGACAAGCAAAAATGTCTCTGGACATTGCCAAATGTCCCTAGGGCAGTAGAATTGCCTCCAATTGAGAAGCACAGGTCTAGGGGCACCTGTCTGAACCCTTGCTCCTATCCACAGACGACTGTGTGAGCACAAGTATGGCAATGCTCCCCGAGTCCGCATCAATGGACACGTGGCTGCCCGTTTCCCCTTCATTCCTATGCCACTGGACTACATCCTACCCGAGCTGCTCAAGAATGCCATGAGGTGAGCTGCTGGATATGTTGGGTGGGGAGCAGACAGGAACTGGGGTGCCACCACCTACTGATCTTTTTCTTCTGCATAGAGCCACAATGGAAAGTCACCTAGACACTCCCTACAATGTCCCAGATGTGGTCATCACCATCGCCAACAACGATATTGATCTCGTCATCAGGTCTGGCCTGAGTGGGAGTTGGGCTGAGGTGGATGGGGGTTCCCAGCACTGTTTCTGACTTGCTGTAGGACCTCAAGCCAGTACCTGCCCCACTCTGGGATTTGGTCCCTAGTCCTAGATAAGATGTGCTGTGGTACTGAGATTGCCATGAGCTGGATATTATGGATCTGGGGCCAACTGCAGGCCCCAGCGCACTGCCTCTGTCAGCAACTGAGGAAAATGGGAAACAGGAGTAATTAGTCTATTATGCTGTTCGAGAATATTTGTCAAATCCTGTGAGAAGGTATAAGCAGTCAGTGGCCCAGGCAGAGGTGAGGATGGAGGAATGTAGCTAACACAAACAAGGTCCAGGGGTCTAGGTAGAGCACATCCCACCCTTGGGTGGAAGGGACAGGAAGGCAGACTTGGCACAGTCTGCTTGGGAGGTGGTGATACTCCCACCAAAGCTGAGTCACGCCGGTGTTGGTGACATCCTGCCAGGATTTCGGACCGAGGTGGAGGAATTGCCCACAAAGACCTGGATCGGGTCATGGACTACCACTTCACTACAGCGGAGGCCAGCACCCAGGACCCCCGCATCAGCCCCCTCTTTGGCCACCTGGACATGCACAGTGGTGGCCAGTCAGGACCCATGCATGGGTGAGGCCCCACCTGGCCAGGATGGAGGGGTGGGGGGCCCAGGAGACTCAAGCCTCTGAAGCCCCGTCCTGTTCCCCTGCCCACCCCCAGCTTTGGCTTCGGGTTGCCCACATCACGGGCCTACGCAGAGTACCTCGGTGGTTCCCTGCAGCTGCAGTCCCTGCAGGGCATTGGCACAGATGTCTACCTGCGGCTCCGCCACATTGATGGCCGGGAGGAAAGCTTCCGAATCTGACCCCACAGCATCTGGCCTGCACACCTGCCCAGCCTGGGCCACATTCCTTCTGGGTCAGGCAGAGTGGCACTCTCCTGCACCCGCTGCTGCATCTTGGGTCTTAGGGCCTCAGACAGATGGACTTAAATGGAGCTGGGCACCGTCCCTCCTCAATAGGGTCCACTGCTTCCTTGCCTCCAGGCCATGGAGGGGAGGAAGTGGGGACCCCTGAGGCTCCATCATTCTCGTTCCTGGTAAACCCCCATCTTGACCTGTTGTTTATTATTAAAGTTCACATTTTGAATGCCCTCTTGGGCCCCGTGTGCAGGGAGGGCTAGTGAGCTTTTGTGTCTGCCCCCATTCAGGTTCCCTGGGCCCTTGGGTTTAACTGGCTCATGTCCTAGTCTCTTTAACTCTCCCGACAGCCTGGCAGACCAGGAGGAGAACTGGCTTCAAGTCTCTTGCATGTTTGATTTAAGGGGAGTGGCAGTGACTTTGGTAGCTATGCAAAGACCTTTCATTCATCTCATTTACCAAATGTTTCTGGGTCCTAAACAATAAAAAAAAAAAGATGAAGCACTGAAGTTTTCCCAGAGGAGTCAAGGATGGTGCTCCAGTTAGCTCTCACTCCAAAACCAAGTGGCATGGGCTGGCCCGTGGCTCACTTGGGAGAGTGCGGTGCTGATAACACCAAGGCCGCGGGTTCAGATCCTATATTGGGATGGCCGGTTAGCTCATCGGGTGAGCGTGGTGCTGACAACACCAAGTCAAGGGTTAAGATCCCCTTACCGGTCATCTTTTAAAAAAAAAAAAAAAACCAAGTGGCATGAGATGACCACGCATGCTTGCAAATTCTATGGCTCAGGAATTTGGACGGGGCACTGAGGAGCTGTGTCTTCCCTGCTCTGGGATGCCTGGGGCCTCAGCTCCGGTGACTTTCATGGCTGGAGGTGACTTGAAAGTTGGGCATCTGGACTGAGCTGGCCGAAGAATGGGCTCAGCTGGGACTGTCAACCAAAGTGCCTACTTGTGGCCTCCAAAATGTTGGTCTCAGGGTAGTTGGACTTTTCACATGGTGTCTCAGGGGTTCAAGAATGAGCGTTCCCACTGGTCTCTGGCCATACCACTCTGAATGCTAAGCAGGTCAGGCTGGGTTGGTACTTGGATAGGAGACCACATAGGAATAATGGTGCAGCCTTTATGGGAGATGGTTTGGAGGTTCCTCAAATGATTACAGATAGATCTACCATAAGACCCAGCTGGGTATATACCCTGAGGAATGGAAATCATCATGCTGAAGGGATACCTATACGCCCATGTTTATTGCAGCTCTATTTACAACAGGCAATAGTTGGAATCAGCCTAAATGTCCATCATAGGATGAATGGATAAGAAAACTGTGGTATATCTACACAACGGAATAGTACTCTGCTTTTTAAAAAGTGAAATATTACCATTTGCGGCAACATGGATATACTTAGAGAAAATTATATTAAGTGAAATAAGCCAGGCACAGAAAGAGAAATACTGCATGTTCTCACTTATTTGTGGGAGGTAATATAAATAAATAAATATACAAACAAGGGGGTGGGGAAGAAGACACAACAATCATAACAATTCCTTGAACTTGTTGAGACAGGTGAACAAGGGCCAGCCCGTGGCTCACCTGGGAGAGCGTGGTGCTGACACCAAGTCAAGGGTTAAGATCCCCTTACTGGTCATCTTTTTATGTATTTATTGTTTTGGCAGCTGGCCAGTATGGGGAACCAAACCCTTGACCTTGGCGTTACAAGGCTGTGCTCTAACCATCTGAGCTTACAGGCCAGACCCCAGTCATCTTTGGGGAAAAAAAAAAAAAAAAAGACAGGTGAACAGTATGATGTTGATGAGGGGAGGCGGAGACAGAAGGGGGAAAAGGAGGAATTGGTAAAGGGACATGAAAATCAACCACATTATATATTGATAAATTAATTTTTTTTTTTTTTTTTAAAGATTGAGTAGTCCCAGTGAACAGAGCAGAAGCCGTGTGGCCTTTTATGACAGCCTCAGAGGACATGGAGCATCACTTCCAGCATACTCTATTGGCCATAGCAGTCATAAGACCAACCAGATTCAAGGATGGGGATATAGAATTCATCTCTTGATGGGAGAAGAAGCAAAAACCTTGCAGCCATGTTTTAAAACTGCCACAGAAGTTTTCCCAGAAGAGGTAACCCTAGAGTTGAATTCCGAAGGCAGAATAGAAGTTTGCCGGATAGACAGCGTGGGGAGGGCATCCTAGGCGGAGGGATTAGCATATGCAAAGGCCCAAGGGCACAAGAGTGGATTGCGTAACTTGAAATAAATCCTACAAGACTTCCTAGGAGCTCACCAAAGACATCCTTCCTGCTAACTCACCGGGTAGCCNGGTTGTGCCCTGGTGGGCCCAAGCAGGAACTAGGGGCCCCACCATAGAGAAAGGTGGGACCCTGGTAGGGAAAGCCAGGGACCTGGGCAAAAGGAAAGGGCTCCAGATAGCAGATGGGCTCAAGGTTAAACCTGAAGCAGAATTTCCTCTGACAAGCAAAACTACAGTTGATATTTCAGTTGGGAACACCCTACCTATCTTTCCACAGAAGGAGAAGAAATGCCTAAGGGCCTGCCTGCTGTGACTGGGGAGGAGAGTCTTACCTGTCTTTTGCCTTCACATCTGAGCCCTGACAGCTAACTTCCTGAGGCTGGCTCTAGGCCTACACCACCTCCTACCCTTCAGGGTGATGGAGGTAGGGGATTGAGGGGAGACAGGAAATTGTATCTGGAGGATCAGATGGCAGGTGGTGGGAAACCACAATGATTTGCTAGGCTAAAAATCTTGCTGCTGCAGTTCAGGGAGGGGAGGCTACAGACAGAAGATTCAGGGCCTTGAAACATGGGCTTTATTCTGGAGGCAGTAGGGATCCATGCATGGGTTTTAAGCTAGGAAGGGATGTTTCAGGTTGGATTCCCTAGAAGTAGAACATGAGAGGAGGATTTGTGCCTAAGTGATTTGTTAAGAAAGTGCTCCCAGAAGGGAGTAGGGGAAGCAGGAAAGGGAAGAGGGGTGGATGCCAAGCAAGGATGTGATCTCAGGCAAAAGTCCAGAGCCAGTAAATTATACCTGAGTTGCAGGCAAGACAGCTAAACTCCACATTCACTGATTAATTCCTCCATTTCACAATCATTGGTTAAAGTTTTTTCAGGCAAAACAGCTCTATTGACCTGAGGGCCATTAGTCAAAGAAGAGCCCCAGGTGCTGGCCTTTGAAAGCACATCAAAGGTAGTCTGGGCACACAGAAATAACAAAAAGATCCCCC